GTGCTCTACCACTGAGCCACCTTCCCAGCCCTTTGAGGCCATCTTGATTCCATAGCAAGGCCCTGTCTCAAAACAAAGCAAAAATTTGTCTTTCATTCAGCAAACATTTTGTTAGATATGGCTCAGGATGTTGTGTTGCATAGGAATAAGGACACCAACTCAAGAGAAACTAGGCGGCTGGGCACTGGTGGCTGACACCTGTGATCCTAACTGCTCAAGAGGCTGAGACCTGAGGATCACAGCTCGAAGTCAGGCCAGGCAGAAAAGTCCCTGTGAGACTCTTATCTCCAATTAACCACTAGAAAACTGGAAATGGCACTGTGGCTCAAAATGGTAGAGTACTAGCTGTTAGCCAAAAAGCTCAGAGATAGCACATAGGCCCTGTGTTCAAACCCCGCCCCACAAAGGATGATCATTCTATCACCAAGTTTTGTTTTTCTATGATGGAAATCAAAACTCAGGGTTTGCCCTTGCTAGACACTTGCTCTGGAACTGTTAGTTTTTTTTTTTGTCAGTTGTGGGGCTTGAATTTGGGGCCTGGGCGCTGACCGTCAGCTCTTTAGTTCAAGGCTAGACCTCTACCACTTGAGCCACAGCGCCACTTCCAGCAGCTTTTGCTTATGTAGTGCTTAGGAATCGAACCCAGGGCTTCATGCATGCAAGGCAGTGCTTGCCTATCATTGAGCACTTTCCTACCCCTCACTACCACTTTGAGCCACAGCACCACTTCCAGTATTCTGGTGGTTCATTGAAGAGTTTCATGGATTTTCCTGCCCTGGCTGGCTTTGAACCATGACACTCAAGTCTCCTGAGTAGCTAGGATTTATAGGTGTGAGCCACCAGCACCTGCTGCCAATTTACTGTTAAAGAAATACTTACAAGGCATATACCCTGAAGCAGGTACACACTGTGCAGTGGGAACTGAAGCAGTTTTTGGCATTCAGATCGGGGATTCCACATGGGCAATAGGCACCAAGTAATAAAACAGGTTAAGTACAATGAAAAAAACAGAACAAGGTGACACAGGAAGCACACCAGGGAACCTCATCTAGTCCTGAAAACAGGCCCTCCATTTTCCCAAGAGGGACAAGACATCTGAACTGAGGTTTATGCTTGCAAGAGTCCCTAAGTAGAGAAAGATAGCATTTAGCATGTGGTGGTTAGAGTGCAAAAATGTAGTCAGGCCATTTTATCTGGAAGGAGGCAGAAACTACCTACAGATCATGATGAGGTATTTGGTTTCAGTGGCAGAGAAGTGTTCATTTTTTAAAGATTCCTGACAGAAATATGTAGGCCAAAGGAAGATGGCTTGGTTAATACCAAGGTGAGTCTGGGAATTGTTCTTAAGCCCCGCCAAGGCTACTGCTCTACTGCTGGAATCACAGTTCCACTTCTGCATTTTTTGATGGTTATTTGGATGAGTCTTACGGACTTTCCTGCCTGGGCTGGCTTTGAACTGCAGTCCTCAGATCTCAGCCTCCCAAGCAGCTAGGATTACAGGTGTGAGGCATCAGAGCCCAGCAAGGAAGATAAAATTTAATTTTGTTTTGCCTCAAAATCACAGATTCATTTGGGAAAAATATTTCCTAGCAGGGAATTTTAATTTCCTAGCTGAAACTGGGAGCTAGCACCTGGGAGGTTGGTGGTATGGCCACAGCTGGACAGAGCTCCCCAGGGCCATTTCTGGCCATGCTTAATCCCCTCCTTCTAGGGGAGACGTCTAGAACTCTAAGCCAGCAGTAGGCAAGTAAAAATGACACTTTACCAGATAAGATGATCAAATGTCTTCTCTCCTTACTAACTCTTAAGTTTAAAGTTCAAGATATTCACTTACTGTGGAAGCACCCTAGAGGACCGCTCCTGTGCCTAAGCACCCTTCCATAGGCACCCTCAACTATTTCTAGGGACAGGGAACAGTCATGTAAATGGACATTATACAATGTAATGAGTAACTTTACATTCTTCCAACCAATTAGCAACACTGAGAAGCAACTATAAAACAAAAGTAACATAAATGGTCCAGTTAACTTGGGGGTAAGCTTTACCTGAAAGAACACCATTACAACAGAAATGACTGATAGGCTGAGTTTGCCAAGAAAGTTCACATTCAGTAAGAAAGTTTATTACAGTTGAGGAAAACTTTAAAAAAAAAAATGCTTTACAGTCATCTGGAAAGTTAACTTAAGTGGAACCCCTCCTGGTCACATAGGATGGGTAAATGAAAATTTGTCTGATGAAACAAGTTCTTAAGTGAATTACTAAACATCAAGACAGCATGCTAAAATATTTATCAACAAAAATACTGACAGCCTGCCACAGAAAAGGACAGGGCTACCCAACCACAAAACATCAAGTAAGATGGACTCCCAAAACAAACTTCATTCCAGTTACCAAAAACAACATGTCAACCAGTAATCATTTAATGCCATCAAACTCATAACTCAAAAGAGCTAACAAAATAGTTCTGTGTGCTTAGCCACTTTTAAAGAAATTTTAAGAGAAGAAACATTCAGAGAGCTCTCACCCAATTTGGGATCCATTTAGGCATTTATTAGCAAAAAGATAGCACTAAAAACTAAAAATCCTTAAGCTTAGAGAATGTAATTCAAGTCTTTGATGTACATTTTATTCATACATTAAAAGAAATGTGTCTTAACATAAAGGAACCCAAGTCTGAGAGCTTACCTTTTTTCTTCCAACATAATCTCCTGCCTAGCCTTCATTTTGCCACTCCAAACACTACAATATGTTATCCACACTGCACCGGTTTTAGTTCAACATGATTGACTACGCAAAGTCAGTCCCTTAGATACCATGTCATATATCTTGTTATACTTACTACTCCCTTACAGGTTGTTACAGCTTGTATTACCATTGTAATTGAGCTATACAATTGTATATACACGATTCTGTTTTATTGCACAGGTAACAGTGTATTAATTACATAACCAACCAGAAGATGAAGACTATTTAGACAAAAACAGCAACTTTCTCCCCAAGCACAAATGAAGTTAGATACAAATTTGCTACCATACAAAGGCTGTGTTTACTCTGTGGTACAGTCCTCAAGGGCTCATACCACTCCAAGTATGTTAAATACAGCATTCATAACACACTTCTGGTGGCATCAGACCCAAAGCATGTGACACAAGACTTCAAATAAAGTCTGTGCCTATGAACTGCCTGTGCCACATGTGTAACAGAAAGGCCACTTTGAAAGACTTTCAGGTACTCAATCATGTTTGCCTTTAAAAAATCATTACCACACTAGTCATATTGAATGCAAAAACACTAGTTAGAATTTATTATACATTTGACCTTAAAATTCAGATAAAGCTGTTTCTACAGATTCTGAACTTTGTCAAATTTAAGAAGTGTATAGGACAACATAACACCATCGCTAGTGATCTACTTGCAGTTTGGTCTTCAAGAGCTGTAAAGAGTGACAAAAAATTAAAAACCATGAAAAATCATTACAATATTAATAACTTTCTAAACACCATGCTTGGGACGGCAAAAATGAAAATGTTTTTCTTTTTAATTTTTCCCTTCACTTCTATTTCACAAAAGTGCTGTACAACTTAAAATCTTGACCACCTACATGGAGTGTTAAAAAAGAAAAAAAAAGTCTCAGCACTGAAAACCTAGTGAAGCCCATTCCCTGGTTAACTCACATGCCTGTGGGTGGCGAATGAGGTGATCTGGAACCAAGGTGCTATCTTTTCAGTGCTGGAACCCACCTCCCTTCAGTTCTTGATTCTATAATCCAAAGGGCACTACTCAAATTTATTTGGCATCAAATTATTGATTTCTGAAACTCTCACATCTGTATTTTGATCCCTGATGTATCCGCACAAAATTGCCCACTAGAGCAGTGTGATGCTAATTAGCCTTGCTTGTGCTTTATATGCTTCCCACTCCTTTACTGCTAGATGAAGAATGTCCACTTTAACCATACTGTTTTAGATTATCTTCCCAGAAACTCAATGTACCAGTTGAAGATGATTTCATTTTGGTTGGTATGAGCACATATTTGCATGCAATTATCTAGAGAGATGAAAAACTGGTCATAAGAAACCTACCTTAAAAGCATGGAGGTGGGGCTGGGAAGGTGGCTCAGTGGTAGAGCGCTTGCCTTGCATGCCTGAGGCCCTGGGTTTGATTCCTCAGCACCACATAAGCAAAAAGAAAAAAGCCGAAAGTGGCGCTGTGGCTCAAGTGGTAGAGCGCTAGCCTTGAGCTGAAGAGCTGAGGGACAGCGCCCAGGTCCAGAGTTCAGGGCCCACGACCGGACCCAAAAAAAAAAAAGCATGGAGGTATGGCTCATGGTAGAACACTTGCCTACAATGTAAGGGCTGGGTTTAATGCCTAGCACCAAAAAAAAAAAAGGGGGGGCGGGGAGGGGTACAAACCTACCTACCTACTGCCTCATGTCAAATTTTAACTAGTATTTACAGATTAAAAAAAGATCATAGTCAGTTGCCAGTGGTGCATGCCTATAATCCTAGCTACTCAGGAGGCTGAGATCTGAGGACTGTGATTCAAAACCAGCCCAGGCAGAAAAGTCTCTTATCTCCAATTAACCACTCAAAAACTGTAAATGGTGCTATAGCTCGAGTGGTGGAGTGCTAGCCTTGAGCACAAAGAGGCTAATGGACAACGCTTAGGTCCTGAGTTCAAGCCCCACAGCCAACAAAAAGATTCATAAGTTACTTCTCCAACATCTCCATGATGTTTCTATTCAGTTGGGTGTATGTGAGTCAGTTTCGTTTATTTGGCAAAAAATGTTCTTAGTATTTTCTGATTCTTTGGACAATTTCATTTATTATGTGAGGGATGAGGATGCTGCATTGTTAATATCAACCTCTAAAATTCAAAATAACCCTTCCAATATGTTTAGATCATGTGCTCTTAAACTACCTTGATTTAATGACAGTGGTAAAACTGGGTTCCACAAATGTCACAATCCTAAAGAAGTTAATAAAAGACAGCTAATGCTGTGGGGCAAGAGCTGTCCTGAGGTCTATTTTCTCCCTTGTAACATTTAGAAACCGAGCAAAAAGAAAACTTGGGACTGTATTAACAGACTTCCAAAATAAACTTTTATGGAAGCGTTTTTTAAAAAGTATAGTTTCAGGAGAACAGGCTGCTTGAATCGGACAAATGACACTAGGGGGAGAGGGGAACATCTTCTACTAACTTGGCACTAATAATTGAAATAAACCAAACTAATCAAAGATCTATGTGCAATTAACAATTTACTACCAGAATGAAACAGTTAAGATAAGTTAGATGGGCTTAAAGTAAAAAACTAAACAGAAAACTTTTCAAGCTAGATAGTTAGCAAATTGGGAACTTTTTATTAGCTGGTTGATTCTACCAAGTTAAAACAAACAGTCTACATAAAGACTATCTCAACAAGTGCTTAACTAATACCAACGAACTCATCAAGAAATAGCCTTACAACTAAGCTGTTTTTCTCCTCTGTTCTGTTCTACCATATTTGAGTTTAATAAATCTTTTGCAAGTATTCCTTAGAGCAAAGAAGAAATGGAGTAGCACATTAAGGAAGCCTGAGAAGTCACAGGTGTTAAGAGCATTTCCTTTGGCTGCTCAAGGTCATTAAGTTTCAATAGAGAAAGCTTAAAAGCTATTTCAGGAGAAAAATGAACCATATCTTGGCCATTAGGTTACCCTTTCAAAAGCAATCAGGTATCTTTTTGCCAGGCAATTAGCCTAAATCTCTTGGGTAATGATTAAAAACAAAAGAAAAACCTTACTTTTTCCTACTGAATCCTCTTAGTCTTTTTTGTCGGTGCTTAACAACATCATTGCCCATAATTTACTGTAGTATGGACTTTGTATCAACTTCATTTAGGCCTATTAGTAACAAGACCAAACTATTCTTCTTAGGTCTGTTTAGTTGATAAGTGGCATTTCACTGATGACTTTTTCATATAACCTTCAACAAGAACTCGTAAGTTGCATTGATTATTCCCCAAGAGATGAGGGACCGATGATAATTCAGATGTGCACCTCTGAAAAGATTTGCCACTTTTCTGTCCCGTTCTAGCCAGATTGTTTTGAAAACCTTGGAGAAAGACTGAAATTCCCCACCAATCTGAGACTGTATGCGAGTTTTTACAACATTAACTGGGAAAAACAAGAATCCCAACACGGCACCCAAAAGACCTCCACAGATGAAGTCATTGACTAAATGAGCACTGCGAGTTGTTGCAGTAGGGAGATGATCCTTAATGGGACCCCGAAGGCCAAAAAAAAGGACATTGCTGCATCCATTACGGAACAGAATAGGTACCAAACCTCGATAATACTCTCCAATCCCATGGCATTTGAGTGCCCGGAAAGCCTGATATGTGTTTGTGAATTTGTCATGATGTTTGTGGTCTTGAAGTAATGTCTGAACTCTTTCCAATGGAGTGAAAATGGCTTCTGTGGTCCCTGCAAGCACTGCAGCCACACTACGAGTTGCAAACTCGGGAGCACTAACATGCTTACGGAGAATGCAAGATAAATCCTCATACAGACCAAACATAAGGGCCAGTGTCGTTGTTTTCTGCATTAATGGGGGAAGGATTCCACGATACAAGTTTCGAAATCCATCCTTTCTCAACTGAAGTACTGCATCCCGGGTTTTGATTCCATACAGCTGCTGCCTAAAGAGGAGCTTCTGAATGGGAAATGTGACGGCTACATTGTTGAAAGCTGCACAACAACCACAGAAGTAATGCTTCATTTCACCAACATTTGTAATGTGAGGTGACAGTTCTTGTTTTGAAGATGTTAAAATGGGTGACCTCTTTTCATGAGCTTCTGAATCCATCATGTTGCTTAAGATTGTTCTTCTTCATGAAGGATTTTTTTTAACCTACAATTAATACATAACACAGGTTTTATATAAAGTCAAAACACATAACTTTCCTCCAATTTATGGACATTATGGACTAGATCAGTCCTTATTCATATTAATAGAGTTCTCATTTTTGTTTTGTTGTAATTGACAGGGTCTCATTATGTAGCCCGGTTTGGCCTCAAACTCAAGATTATCCTGCCTGCCTCTCAAGTGTTAGGATTAAAGGACTTTGCCAACACACCTGGCTTTAGATCAGTGGTTCTTTTGTTGTTATATGGAAGTATTGGGGTTTGAACTCAGAACCTTATGCTTGGTAGGCAGGTGCTCTAGCACTTGTGCCATTTCTTAGCCCTTTCTGCTTCGTTTGTTTTTCCAATAGGGCCTCACATTTTTGCCTGTAGTGAGCCTTAGACCCTATCTTTCTATTTCTGCCTTTCCTGTAACTGGTATAACAGAGGCAGTTCACCATTCCGGTTTGTCACACAGTGCTCTTTCTTACTAGAAAATGCTGAATACTCAACAGGTTCAACAATAAGGAAGAGGAAGATGGATCTATCTACATGATGAGATGTTACACAATTCTGTGTGTGTGTGTGTGTGCGCGTGCGCACGTGCAGTGATTCAGGGGCTAGAACTCAAAGCCTGGGCACTGTTTCTGAGCTTTTGTACTCAAGGCTAGCCACTTGAGCCATAGCTCCATTTCTAGCTTTTTTGGGGGGTGGTTAATTGGAGATAATAGTTTCATGACTTTTCTGGCTGGGCTTGCTTTGAACTGCATCGTCAGATCTCAGCCTCCTGAGAAACTAGGATTAATCTTCTTGTGTGTGTGCCAGTACTGGGGCTTGAACTCAGGACCTGAGCTCTCACTCAGCTTTTATCATTTATGGCTGGCCCACTACCAGTTCAACTATGTTTCCAGTTCTAGCTTTTTGCTAGTTAAACGGTGACAAGAGTCTCTCACATTTCTCTTCCCTAGGCTAGCTACCAACTTGGCTCTGAACTAAAATCCTCAAATCTTAGCCTCCTGAGTGGCTGTGACTGGCAGCATGAGCCAGCAATGTGCCTGGTTTATTATACTAGCATTCATTTGTTTTTGTCAGTTGTGGGGTTTGAACTCAGGGCCTGGGCTCTGTTCCTGAGCTCTTTTGCTCAAGGCAGTGCTCAATCACTTTGAGCCACAGCCCCACTCCCATTTTTTGAGTGTTTCATTAGAGATAAGAGTCTCATGGGGACTTTTCTGCTCCTGATACCATGATCCTCAGATCTCAACCTCCTGAACAGCAATAGGATTACAGGCATGAGCTACCAGCACTTGGCTATTCTATAACCTTTACGAATAAAGGAATACTTGAAAACTGCTTTAAGGTTTAGTATCAAGTTTTGAATAGTTAGTGATGTTTATGAAATTTAGATGATCCCTTATTCAATCAATAAACAGTACTACAGAAAAGAAAAAGGAGGGCTGGTACCAATAATCCAGTTCACACCTGTACTCCCAACTATTTATAGGAAGCCTAAGAGGTGGACTAAAGTCCACACACACACAAAACAAAGACCAGCTAGACATTACCTAAAAAACAAGAGGCATGGCTCCCTCCAGTGGAAGACAACTTGCCTAGCAAGTTAAGGAGCCTGAACTCAAACCCCATTACTGACAAAAAACAAAAACAAAAATCACCAAAAAACAATAGAGTACTTTTTGACATAGAATAGTACTATGAAACAATCCCATTTTTATCAAAATACATTTGTGAAAAAGCTAAAGTGATTTTGTTTATAATGCTATGCTTCCCCTTTTAATACCTTTCACATTAAGTCATTCTTTTCTTTTTGGTCAGTCATAGGGCTTGAACTCAGGGCATAGTCACTGTTCTCTCTGAGCTCCTTCTGCTCAAGGCTAGTACTCCGCCACTTTGAACCACACCGCTGGAGGGTTTTCTAATAGTTCACTGGAGATAAAGAGTCTCATGACTTTCTACTTGGGCTGGCTTTGCAGACTCTCAGATCTCAACCTCCTGAGCAGCTAGGATTGCAGGTGTGAGCCACTGGCACCTGGCTCAATTTGTCATTCTTTGAAACTGATTTAAAAAGTTGGACACTGGTGATCATAATAATATGGACAACAAAAGGCCAACAATAAGTATAGACATGATAAAGTTACAATGTGGCCCAAGCAAAATGCTTTACCCTTCTGAGATTCAGTTTCTATAGCAATCATTGAGGCTAATACCATCTACTCCGCAAGATTAGAATAGAAATTAGATGAAGAGTATGCATGTCAGATGAGGTAAGATGGCAAGTAATTCAGCTACAAGCTAACAAATGCAATCTTTGTTTGTTTTTTTTTGTTTTGTTTTTGGGTTGGTCATGGGGCTTGAACTCTGGGCTTGGGCGCTGTCCCTGTGCTCTTCAGCTCAAGGTGAGCACTCTACCGCTTGAGCCACAGTGCCACTTCCGGTTTTCTAGTGGGTTTTATTGAAGAGTCTCACGGCCTTTGCTGCCCAGGCTGGCTTTAAACTGCGATCCTCAGATCTCAGCCTCCTGAGTAGCTAGGATTACAGGCGTGAGCCACCAGTGCCCGGCTACAAATACAATCTTTGAAACAAGGAGTCAAAACCCCACAGAAAAATAAGTCATTAACTAGCAGCTTAGGAAGACAGGCAGAATATGGCCTCTGGCCTAGCTTGGAAAGCTCAACTGGAGTCACTATGTACATGAGGGTGAAACATTCTGGCCAAAGAGTGGCACAGGCCGAGGTATGATACCTAGGAAGCATGTTTCACACTCTTGGAGTTGGGCTGCTGGTATATCCAACAACTGAAAAAAAAATCCATAAAAGAAATGTTCAGGGCTGGGAAGGTGGCTCAGTGGTAGAGCGCTTGCCTTGCATGCCTGAGGCCCTGGGTTCGATTCCCCAGCACCACATAAGCAAAAAGAAAAAAAGCTGGAAGTGGTGCTGTGGCTCAAGTGGTAGAGCGCTAGCCTAGAGCTGAAGAGCTGAGGGACAGCGCCCAGGCCCAGAAGTTCAGGCCCCACGACCGGACCCAAAAAAAAAAAAAATGACATGTGCAGAGGGAGAAAAAGCTGTATATCCATTAGCTATACAATTAAATATAAAATAAATATACTTTCCTCCAAAGTCACTGGTCTACTTAAGTCTCCCTTGCTAAAGCCTCTTTAGCAATCAACCTGACTTAAGTCATACTCACTACCTCTTGTTCCCTTCTGTCTCCCAATCTACCCATTAGCTTATTTAGAAAAATAAGCAAAAAGAGCAGCAATGATGGCTTCTATCTGTAATCCTTGCTACTCAGGCTAAGATTTGAGGATTGTGGTTCAAAGCCAGAGTGGGCAGAAAGTCCATGAGACTCTTATGTCCAATTAAACACCAGAAAACCAGATGTAGAGCTGTGGCTCAAAGTAGTAGAACACTAACCTTGAGCAGAAAAACTCAGGGACAGACCCAGGCCCTGAATTCAAGTCCCACGACCAAAACAACAACACCAACTATTAGGTTTGAAGAGCAAGGTATATAATAATATACTGTAAAATCTAATTTGAAACCAAAACTACCTCAGGGCCTTGTATGATGGCATAATCCTGTATTAAATGGGTTTAGCATACATAATTTGTCCTGTTCCCTCTATATATGATCATTATTACTCTTCCCTTGTGTGTGTGTGTGTGTGTGTGTGTGTATGTGCACTTGCGCGCATGCAGTACATTGGTACTGGAGTACAGGTTGGTGCTGGAACTAAGGCCTTCTCATTTTCAATTGGCTGGTGACTCCTAACTGGAGTCTTGGCTTTGTTTGCCAGGGTTAGTTGGCTTCAAACCAAGATCCTCAGATCTCAACCTCAGATCCTCAGATCTCAACCTCTTTAGTAGCTAGGATTACAGATATACCTTGCTACTCTTCCCTCTCTTTTACCTTTAAACAATGTTGACAAACTTGACCTGGATGAACTGTTTTTCCATTTAAATCTTTTAAATAAGATTCAGCATTTTTCTTTTTTTTTTGTACTAGGTCCTGGGGCTTGAACTCAGGGCCTGGGTGCTGTACTTGACCTTTTGTGCTCAAGTCTAGCACTCTACCACTTGAGCTAAACCTCCACTTCTAGCTTCTAAGTAGTTAATTAGAGATAAAAATTCTACAGACTTTCCTGCCCAGGCTGGCTTCGAGGAGCTGTGATCCTCAGATCTCACTCTCTTAAGCAGCTAGGATTACACGTGTGAGACTCTGATGCCCAGCCATTTATTGCTTTTTTGGTGCCGGGGATTAAATTAAACCCAGGGCCTTGCGCATGCTACACTAAGCACATGTTCTACCACTGTGCTATATCCCAGGCTGCAACAATGCATTACTATACCATAGATACTGAACACCATAGCTTAGCAACAGAGTACCAGTTGTTTACCCTTGTGATTGCATGGCTCATCTGGAGCTGTGCTCACTGCTGCTGCCTTGTATCTCAAGACAGCTGTCACTATCCAAGAAACAGACAAAACTCAAAATAGGGTTTCTTATTTTGTGTGTTGGTCTTGGGAGTTAAACTCAAGAAAGAGCCTGGATGCTGTTCCTGAGCTTTTGTGTTCAAAGCCCTCTACCACTTCTCTTTTTTTTTTTTTTTTTGGGGGGGGGGGGATGGCGGAGAGGAGAAAGGGGCTTAGAGATAAGTCTCATGGACTTTCCTGTCTGGGCTGGCTTCAAACAGTGATCCTCAGGTCTCACCCTCTCAGCCCCACCAATGCCCACCAAGTATGGTTTCTAATGAATACACAGGATTTTTGTACCACTAAAAAATTCAAAATAGGAACTGGGATACAGCTCAGTGGTAGAAGACTTGCCTAACATGTATGTGAACCTTCATTCAATCTCCAGCACTGAAAAAAATCTCCAGGCACTAGTGTATCATGCCTATAATTCTACCTACTCAAGAGGATGGGATTTGAGGATAGAAGTTTGAAGCCAGCCCAGGTAGCAAAGTCAGTGAGATTCTTCTCTCCAATTAGCCCCTAAGAAGCCAGAAGTGGAGCTGTCGCTTAAGTGGTAGAGTACTATCTTGAGCACAAAAGCTCAGGGACAGCATCCAAGCTCTGAGTTCAAGCCCCAGGAATGGCACAAAAAAAAATTTTTTTTTAAGTAAAACATATTAAGTCACATTGTAGTATACATTATCTACCCTCTTGGCATGGAAATGAATCCTACTTAGCATATGAAAAGATACTGCTACATAGTATTTGCTAATTTTAGTTTCTGGTGTTGGGGATTGAACCGAGAGTTGGTTGTGCATTAAAAAAGTGCTCTCCCACTAAGCTATGCCCCTAGTCCACCATCTGTCATTATTTTAACATTTCTTAAAACTGCAGGCAACAGACCAAGTTTTCAGCACTAGTACTATCTCCACCATGGAGTTTTGTTGTTATAAGCTAGATGCCGAGGACTCACACCTGTAATCCTAGCTACTCAGGAGGCTGAGATCTGAGGATCACAGTTCAAAGCCAGCCTGGGCAGGAAAGTCTGTGAGACTCTAATCTCCAATTAACTACCAGAAAACCAGAAGTGGCACTGTAGCTCAAAGTGACAGAGCACTAGCTTTGAGTGAAAAAGCTTAGGGACAGCGCCCAGGCTCTGAGTTCAAGCCCCATGACCAGCACCAACAACAAAGAGTACCATTGTGTTCCCCTATAAAAAGAATATGACTTTTCCTTATGCTGGGGAACAACTTTATCAATACTAGCTGTTCCTGGACAGTTTAAAAGAATTCATTCACCTGAGATGCCAGCTGAGCCTGGTGTTGTGGAGGACAACGGCTTTTTGGTGACTTTCCCAATTTCTTCCATTGTTACTGGTCTGCAAGGTTTTCTCTTCTGGAGTCAATTCTGATAACTCGATTTCCTTAAAAGAAGTAAAATAAAATCCAGCTTAATTTCTATAGACTTACAAAGGATTTACTGTTCAAATACTTTTTTTTTTTTTGTCAGCTTGAACTCTGGGCCTGTGTGCTGTCTCAGCTCTTCAGCTCAGGGTGAGCACTCCACCACTTGAGCCACAGCACCACTTCTGGTTGTTATTTTTTTTTTTTTGTCGGTCATGGGGCCTGAACTCTGGGCCTGAGCACTGCCCCTCAGCTCTTCAGCTCAAGGCTAGCGCCCTACTACTTGAGCCAAAGCGCCACTTCCAGCTTTTTCTGTTTATGTGGTGCTGAGGAATCGAACCCAGGGCCTCATGCATGTAAGGCAAGCACTCTACCACTGAGCACCTTCCTAGCCCCCCACTTCTGGTTTTCTGGTGGCTAATTGGAGATTTTCCTGCCCCGCTGGCTTTGAATGAACCAGATCTCAGCCTCCCGAGTAGGTATGATTACAGATGTGAGCCACTGGTACCTGTCTCAAGTACTATTATTTCTAGCCATGTCTATTTATGTTCCCTTTTTCTTGAGTAGGGTTGCACCAGTAGATCTAACTTTATATCTCTCCAGTCCTCAGCAAAGAACCATCTCTTCAATGGTCAATTTTGTTATTTTTCAGTTAAGTTTATTTTCCTCCATTACCTTTCTGATTTTTCGTTTGGGTTCATTTTCTTCTAATATCTAACATTAGTGATTTTAATTATCCCCCCACTTCATGATTTAACTTTATAAAATTATTTTCCAGTATTTTGTTTTAAAATTTCACATTTTCCTTTGCATGTTTAAGATATTCTTCATTTTATTCTAGTTCTGTGTGTTCTACAATCTTCAGCTCTGGCCAGATTATTATAATAAAAATGGTGTTTAAAAAATGGATCCAGGAGGTTATCTAATCCCCATATTCACTTCTTGATGTACTATTCTTTGGTAACATTATGATAAATTTAAGAAAATGTTTAAGCCAGAGACTGGTAGCTCACATCTGAAATCCTACTCAGGAGGCTGAGATGCTCTGAGGATCAAGGTTTGAAGCCAGCCCAAGCAGGAAAGTCCTTGACTCTTATCTCCAAATAACCACCAAAAGCTGGAAGTAGAACTATGACACAAGAGGCTGAGCACTAGCCTTGAGCAAAAAAGCTTAGGGGCAGCCTTGAACTCAAGCTGAGTTCAAGCTCCAAGACTGGCATACATACATGCCTACACGCACACATACACACACACACACACACACACACACACACACACACACACACACACACACACACACACACACACACACACACACACACGTTTATAGATGCTTAAGAAAATTTCAAAGGTACAAAGCTTATTAAGTGGCCACTTTTTAGTGATGTATTTGCCAATCTAAGATTAACCAATATTTCAAAAACTAAAATTAAAAACAAGCATAGAAATGCTGGATATCTATGTAATGATTTGCTTTTATTTTGCAACTAAACATATTAAAATCAATATAAATATTTAATATACACTTTTATATAATCTGACAATTTACAAATGTTAAAACATTTTCTGCCAGGTGTTGGTGGCTCACACCTATAATACTAGAGACTCAGGAGGCTGAGATCTAAGGATCAAAACCAGCCTAGGGAAGTCAAGCTGTGGCTCAAGTGGTACAGTGGTACAGCACTAGTCTTGAGCAAAAAAGTAAACTCAGGGACAACAGCATCTAGGCCCTGAGTCCAAGCCTCAGGACCAGCAAAAAAGGAAAAAAAAAGGGCTGGGAATGTGGCTCAGTGGTAGACTGCTTGCCTTGCATGCATAAGGCCCTGGGTTCGATTCCTCAGCACCACATAAGTGGAAAAAGCTGGTAGTGTCACTGTGGCTCAAGTGGTAGCCTTGAGCTTAAAAGCTGAGGGACAGTGCCCAGGCCGAGTTCAGGCCCCATAACTGACAAAGAAGGTCTAGGCAGGAAAAAGGAATTATTATTAAAACCACCTGAACTTCACAGATTTAAGCTTGTTCTCTAGTTGTTTTTTTTTTTTGGGGGGGGGGGGGAATACTGTACAGAGGAGTTACAATTACATGGGCAAGATAATGAGTGCATTTCTTACCAAGCACTGTAGCCTCCTCCTTTGTTTCCCCTTCCCATCCCTTCCCATCCTCCACCCTTGTCCTCTAGTTTTAACTCATACTTGAGGAAGGTGTGAAATCAATCTTAATTTAGTAGTAAAAGTAAAGGAAGGGGCTGGAAAAGTGGCTCAGTGTGGTAAAGTGCTTGCCTTGCATGCATGAGGCCCTGGGTTCAATTCCTCAGCACCACATACGCAGAAAAAGCCAGAAGAGGCCCCACGACTGGCAAAGAAAAAAAAAAAAAAAAAAGGAAAGTAAAGGCAGTGAGCCTAGTATTCTCTGGCATGTTTACTACACTATGAACATGGCTGAATTTGTTAGGATGAACGCTACTTAAATTAACATGAGTACTAATTCTTTGTGACTTACGGCACAATTCATTTACCGTATCTACATTTGCTTGATACCTAAAGCACTCAACACAGTCAAGCAAAGTTGATGGAAGCTGACTTGCAAGCGACTTGCAAGGGTCAAAACTTCCCTTAAGAAAGTTACAAAGTCTACTGTAATTTACAACCCACACAGGTACACTAGCACCCAGATGTGATTCCAGGACAAAGGTCTTTGTGTACAAACAGGGCCGAGGGTGACTGTAATTCTCAAAAGAAGTGGATTCCCACTAGTCAGCAGATCTCAGTCAGCATTGAGAACAAGGTCAGCTGGGGTACTCACTCTACTTAAGACCCTATCTTGCCACTATTAATACAAAGCCAAGTCTATGCCTCTACATTTACTAATCTGAGCTTTCGGTTTGGTCTGATGCCGAGATGCACTATGGGAGACTCCAATTCCCAAGCATCTCACTTGTGCCCTGGAACCGCTACGATTCGGGAGACCTCCTGGCACCCTTCACGATTAGTTAGTTCTTCAAAGTAAAGGTGCAGGAAGCTCCGACTGCCATGGCACACAGGTACTTGTTTTCCCACAGATTATAGAGAAACAAGGAGGAAATCAGACCAGCTGGGAAGAGCTGTCAGGTTATGGCGAAGCGACAAACACGGCTGAGGTGTTGACGTATTCCAAGTTGCTAAACTTGAGTCATCCGTAGAGAGACAAACAGCTAACACTGCCATCCTGGACGGCCGCGCCGTTTCCAAGACGGCAATGCAACGCGGTGTGCCAAGGCAAACATTCTCCCGGCCTCCAACTCTCGTGTAAGGAAAGCGGGGTGGGGCGGGGGGGGGGGGGGGTGCGGGGGAACACCACCTCCCGCGTCCGGGCTTCCGCGGTGGGCAGGCCGCACGCACCCCGCAGGCCCGATGGGCCTTGGGCCCTTCCGCGGTCCCCAAGCCGCTGCAGCCCCCGGCTCCGGCAAAAGCCCTGCCCTTCCCCTGCCTGAGCGGTTCCAGCTGGCCGGGGAGGCGCCCCACCCAGTCCCGAGGGCGCCCCACGAATGCACGGCCCCGCCGGGCGGGGAGGTCGCCCGGCGGCCCAGGCGGCCCGCGAGCCGGCCCGGGGCGGAGGGGCGCCGCGGGTCCGCGGGGGTGTGGGGTTGGGCCTGCAGCCGCCAGGCCCGGGGACTCAAGCTGCACTGGGGACGCGATGCGCGCGCGCAGAGCCTGGTCCCGGGGCCGGCGGCCGCCCCCCGCATCCTGCACGCGTCCCCTTCCTGCAGCCCGACACGGAGGGGACACACAGACTGCCCGACCCCCGTTTCGCACTCACCCATGGCCGCGGGCACCGGCCCTACGCCCCGAGCCGCCCGCCCGCCCGCAGGACGGCCGGCGAGCGAGCCCGCGCCCGCGCAGGCGCAGAGCTTCACCGACCCGGGCGGAGGGGGCGGGCCCGCACCCGCGCAGGCGCAGAGCTTCGCCGACCCTGGCGGAGGGGCGGGCCGTATCCGCGCCGCGGAGTCACGTGAGATGGACGCCCGGCCTCTCTCTGTCCCCGAGGGGGCGGCGACGCGGTGTTTTCCTTTGGCCGTCGCGGCTGCACAGGTGGAGGCTCACGCAGTCACACCTGTGGGGTGGCTGTGGGGCTCCGCTAGTCCGGGTACCTTACTCTCAGGCCATACGGTGGCCTCGCCGGGCCAGAAACAGGCAACGCGTCCTTTAGCGCGCAGCCTGCGGGAGGTGCCCGGGGGCTGGAGGGGAGGGAGAGGCGGGGAAGGCCGGGACGGGGGTGGCCAGCGCCTGGCTCCTGGGGGCGGCCTCCGTTAGTTGTCCTCCGGCCATGAGAGTACCTTTGTCAGCTCATAAAACAACTTGCATGTGCTTAAGAAGACACGTGCTTTGTAAAGCCTTTGCCCTGTTTGGACGAGCACTGTAAAGGATCGTGGAGAGCCAGGTCAGAATCAACCCGAGCAGTTTTTTGAGTCAGTGACCTTGGACAAGTCACCGGTCACCCAGCTCCAAATCCCTAAGGGGAAAGTAACCTCTGCCTTACATCGCAAACCCTCCGTGTTGTAAGGGACATTTGCGGACAATAATGATTCTGGCTCGTAATTTGTGACTTGGAGCACAGGCAACAGAGGTGAGGAGTTGAAGGCAAGGGCAAGGGCAGCCTGGAAGGGGAGGCACTTCAGGAGACTTGTGAAATGATGACTGGTGTGCATTTTCTGTAGGCTAGCCAAGGGTAACCTTACCAAAGAGGAAAAGTCACCACAGGTGACTTCCCTGACCCTGTGCCCCGCATTTACCTGCTTCTCAGGATATGGGCCAGCCTGCGGTCTACCCAGAATGCTCAGAATACAAGTTAGAATACAAGTAAGAATTACAATAAGAATACAAATACAGACCAGTGAGTTCTTCCCTCCACACACACACACCCCCACCACCCATGGATGGATGAATCTGGATCAGTGGAGAAAGCCATCACTGTGGAAGATAGTATTATGAAGGTGAGGTGGTGGTAGGCCTACCAGTGCCGACCTTACCTTATCAGATGTGGCTGCCTGGCCTCTAATTAGTGCACAACACATAAGATGTTGGACTACAGGATAATGACAAGGCCACTCCATGGTCTAGAACAATTCATCAGGCAACAGTTGGGGGAAGAACATTTACCTCAAAATTATGTTTGCCCTGACTTGTGTGAATTGCTATTCAAATGTATTATTCAAAAAATAAACCAGGCAGGCATCTAGGGTATTCATATGTATGAATAATTAATTTCAGATTCGAATGTAGAGGTTATTCTCCTGAGGTGGCGAGGAAACAAAGAGAAGGAAAGATTGAAATTAAACATGCCATTGGGGCATAACTGACTCAAAAGAGTGGGAAATTTTCTTGTCACTATGAATGCTGGTGTCTGATGTGGAACCTGTTTTTATTATGCTGTAGACCACCGCACAGACCTTTGTATTTTCCCCCGCCCAATTCTTGTCAGAAACCCTTAAAACTTCTTATTGACTCTTCTTGAACATTTGAATGGTGAAGGTCATAATTAATTTCTTTTCCTTTTTCCCTCCCTCCTCCTCTCTCTCCCTCCCCCTTTGTCTCTCTGTCTCTCTCTTTCTGTCATGGGGTTTGAATTCAGGGCCTGGGTGCTGTCCCTGAGTTTTGGCTCAAAGGCTAATGCTCTACCACCTTGAGCTACAGCAACATTTCTGGTTAATTGGAGATAAGATTCACGTAGGTGTTCTTGCCTGGTCTGGCTGCGAACCTCAAGTCTCAGATCTCAGCCTCCTGAGTAGCTAGGAATACAGTCAAGAACCACTGGAACCCAACAAAATTTCTGTTGTTTTTTTGTGTGTGTGTGTTTTTTTTCCCCTCCAACTTCATGATAAAGTTCATTTCTCCATCCTCATCCACCATTCCTGCTTCCATTATTTGGTCTGCATATCTCCATCGAGCCTCTGAATCAGCTACCAAGTAACATCTTCTAAGCCCATCTGCTACCATGTCACTCCTCAGTTTAGAAACCTTCTCTAGATCCCATTTGACTTGTCACTCAGTCTAAACTCCTTAACTTGGCACATAGGTCTGACCCTGGCCTGGTCTCTCTGCCTTCCAGCCAACTTTACCTTCAGCTCCCTTCTGTGTATCCGTGTGGACAGTGCACAGTTCCTCATATTTTGCAAATCCTCGTATCCCTTAAGGTTGTTATTCCCAAACCTTCACCAGCTATTCAATGGATTAAGGGCTAATATCCAGAATATGCAACGACCTAAAAATAATCAGTAAAAGAACAAATAATCCAATTAATAAATGGACAAATGAACAGATAATTCCTAGAAGAAGTACAAATGGCTAATGAGTACATGAAGAAATAAATGTTCAACATCCTTTGCTATAAAGGAAATGCAAATCAAAACTGTATTGAAGCCAGGTGCTGGTGGCTTACCCCTGTAATCCTAGCTACTTAGGCTGAGATCTGAGAATCACAGTTCAAAGCCAGCCTGGGCAGGAAAGTCTGTGAGATTCTTATACTCCAGTTAACCACCAGAAAACTGGAAGTGGCGCTATGACTCAAGTGGTAGAGCGCTAGCCTTGAGCTGAAGAGCTGAGGGACAATGCCCAGGCCCAGAGTTCAAGCCCCACAACTGATAAAACAAACAAACAAAAAACTACACTTTGTTTCCATTTTACCTCAGTCAGAATGGTAATCATCAAGAAAAAAACAGAAACTCTGGGGAGGAAAAAAACCCTTATACCCTATTGGTAGGAACACCAATTAGTACAACTGCTATGGAGATCAGTATGGAGGTTCTTGAAAAAAAACAAAAACAGACCTTCCTTATGACCCTATCATATGTGTTTTGGGCACATATCCAAAGAAGCCTAAAACATTATTCAGGAAAGATACCTGCACACCCATGCTTATCATAGCACTATTCACAATGCCACACCCGGGAATCAGCCTCCGTATCTTCATCAACTGATGAGTGACTTTTTAAAATGTGATATACATAGAACAAAGAGTATTATACATAGAACAAAGAGTATTAGTCATTAAGAATGAACCGTATTTCATTTGAGGAAAATGAAACTGGAGATCGTGTTGAGCAAAAGAAGCCAAGTTCAAAAACTGTTTTTTTGCGTGTAGGAAACCTGCCAAATATTCTTTGGAAGAGTGGCTGGACGTGGGAGAGAAAGGGAGGTAAAGGAACACAACAAGGAGCATGCGGTTTGTCAAGGCACTGTGCATATGCCAGTGGAATTATCACAATGATACTCCCTAGAACTAGCAAACCTTTGCCAAATATTTGATCCGAAAAGGTCTCATTGTCTTCTCCTCCTAGAAGCCTTCCTTGGTAATCCGGGCAGAATTGACTGTGGTGGCATAAAGTTTGGGACATGCTGACCTCCTGCCCTGTGTTTTGGTCTTGTATGAAGGTATCTCTTTCCAACCACCAGCTCATGAAGGCAGAGCTGTCTGGCTTTTTCCTGACCCTTTAACTCTGGTCTTGGCAAAAATGGTGTATAGGAGATATTTGCTAAAATGAAATGCTGGTAGAGAGCAGAGTTGTTAAGTGGGGGAGGGGGACCCTGGAGGTTGGGGATGTGTCTCTATTGTAATGTACTTGCCTAGAAAATACAGGAGGTACTGGATTTGATCCCTAAAAACACAAACGTGATGACTGGATTCTTATAAAAGGGACATGGGGGAGTGTTGATGATGGATCATTGCTTAAGCACTCCCCCAACCCCCCCCCCAAAAAAAAAAAAGCTTTATTGAAGGCTGTCTAGTATTCCAGGGATTCACTAGCCCTATGTCCACAAGGACAGCTTCGTGCAAGTTGTCAGTGAGTCTCGGCTCCTGTGTGTGGCTCTGCCTAGATCAGGTCGCCTGCAGTCATCCTCTCACAGCGAGCAGTGACCTTTTTCTGCCCCTGTTGTTTCCCAGGTCTTTATAATCAGTCATCCAGGCCTGTCTACCACTCCCCTTCTCAAACTCTGGGCTTCATCCACAGTCCCAGTTGTTGCAATTCCCTTCCCTGAAAGATAATGGGGCACCTGCATTGTTTTGTGCTTGCTAGGAACAGCACATTTTGTCCTCGGTGACCTGAAGACAATGTTCTGTTCATTGTTCAATGCTCAGTCTAAACAGGCTCCTCTGCTGCTGACCCTGGTCTCACCTCAGTACCTGTGTGCTCTCTCTTCTCTCTCTCACACACACACACACACACACACTCACACACTCACACATCCCTCCTCTCCTCTCCCCCTCCCTCCCTTCCTTCCTTCCTTCCTTCCAGCAACTTGGGATAGACTGAGATTAGAGACGAGTTCAAAGCCATCCTGGACATAAAAGTTCTTGAGACTCCATTTCAACCAGTGGCTGTGTTCAGTGACATGCATCTGTCATCCTCCGCCACATAGGGGAGTACAAAGGGTGATTGCAGCCTAAGCTGGCTTAGGAATGCAGTGAGACTACCTCAAAAATAACCAATGCAAAAGGGAGCTGAAAGTGTGGTTCAAGTGGTAGTGTGGCTGCCCAGCGGTGCAAGACCCTGAGTTCAATTCCCAGTACCGCCCAAATCAAACAAACAAGAAAATGAACCTCCAGTGAGAATTTCCAGGGGTAAGTCCAATGGGCCTATATACATTTGACCACAGGCCCAGGAAATTCTGTGTCCTAACTCATACTAATCTGTAGTTTGAAATGAGTCCACTTAACAAGAATCAGAAATGTGCAAGTGTGCTAGTGACTCACATCTGTAATCCTAGCTGCTCAGGAAGCCATAATCAGGCTTAAGGTTTGAAGCCTGCCTGGGCAGGAAAGTCTGTGAGACTCTTACCTCCAATTAAGCACCAAAAAAGCCAAAGTGGTACTGTGGCTCAAGTGGTAGATTGCTGCTAAC